CCCAGTTCTGTGTGATTGTTCCCATGATGGGATCAGATGACTGTGTTCTGAGTGGCCAATCTGCCCAAGGGGAGTTTCCCTAGGGGTGTGGCCTGCTTCCAGGATATCCAGGGACAACCTGGGAAGAGAGACATTCCTTTTGTGGATCAAGACCCTGGTGTGCTGACTACAACCTTCCGTGAGTGAGCAGCCCACCGCTCGGCCTGGAGATCTTGGATTCGTCTTTTGTTGGAGTCCACAACCAGTGTACTGCCTGCCAGCCTTGAATTTCTCAGCCCCCTGTGGCTGCGGAAGCTAAGGTTGCCTCCAGCCCAACGTTTCCTCCAGGACTTGCCAGCTTCTATACATTTGTGACCATTTTCCTAAGATAAGTTTCTCTTTCTCTCTCTCTCTATATATAAGCTTTGCTGGGTTTTGTTTCTCTAGAGAACCCAGTCTAACACAGATGGTAACAGAGAAAAGTGTGTGTAGGAACTAGAAAAGAGTGGTGAAGAGAGAAAAAATGTCAGGAAAGATGAGAATGAGACTGGTTAAGGTTACTAATGAACTACCAGAGCAAAAAGGTGGTTTGCACAAAGTACGATTCCCCTTAGACTAAAGAAAGAGAGGATGTTGTAGGGAGGCACAAATCTAGGAAATGCTCCTGCTACCTACTGGGGAATACTGTCAGTCAAGCACAGCCAAATTTCTGTCTGGAAGAATGGTGATGTGGGTGGAACCGGCTACAGAAAAGACATGAATAGGTGACAGTTTTCAGTCAGCCATCTGCACATTGTGTTCCTCCTGAATGCATCAGTTCTTCAGGGAAAATTTAGCCATTCACAAAATCATTTACCAGGAATGTGGAGACTGTCTCTATCCCCACTGTCTGTGAAACACTGCTGATATACTGAGTAAGACTGAAAAGTCCAAGTTAGCTCATGAAAGGCTGACTATTTTTCTTAATACTCTGCTAAAGCCCAATCTATGAAAGTATTTGAAGGTTGCATACAGCAACAGGCAGAAAAAATAAGAGGCCCACACATCAGTGCTCAGGAGGGCTCCCAGCTGAACTGCCAGCTGTGGGGAAACTGCCAGCCAGGGAAAATGCATCATTTAGGACAGAGTGTTCCTCATTTTCACAGGTGGTCTAGATGGGCTCCAAAGCAATTAAAATTGAACCCACTCCAAAGCACTGAATAATTATTTTAGGCCATGGAACAGGATGCTGCGATTTCATTCCCTTTCCTGATGCCTTTTGCACTTGACTTTGGCTATGAATCAAACACACCTAGTCCAAGGCAATATATGTGAAGAATCTTCAATATCTTTTATTGCTGTCTTTTTAAATTATCCTTAGACACAGAACCAGTATTTTTACACTCAACCACATTCCCACCACAAGGATTAAAAAGTGCTTAGGTATAATTTTATTCTACTCTGAATCAAGCCACATACACACACACACACACACACACACACACAAAGGTCTGCATCATGTAAGAAGTCATAACATTCCATGTTTTAATATTAATAACAAGGACATAACTGACCATTTCCTGAGTTAACAGTGCAATGTAAAATTCATTGTATTGCTAATTGGGTATGTTACAGCATAGAAATGTGATCAAAGTGATCATTTACTTTATCATGTCATAAAACACAAGTGCCTATTTTGAAACAGTGATATAGACAATTTAAATGGTAAAGAAATTTTTGATTCATAACAAAGAATCCTGTATGTATTTGTTACATGATTGACTTTCTAGGCAAATATCAGTAGTAGGAGTAGTAAAATAAGTTATGGTACAAAATAAAGCACAAGTTATCTATAGTGAAGGAACATTTGATTGAATTTAAGAAAACAGAAGCCTGGATTCTAGTTAGCCTTTCTGTATATACAAAAATGTTCTCTTAAAAAACCTAAGCAATCACAAATTTAGATAATTCAGCTGCATAAAGGACAATGACAGTTCTTCATTATGCTGTAAAACTATGAATCTCATCTTTGGAAAAGTTTAGATCATGCAGCAACCTGAAAAACAAATAAAACACATGTTCCTTAGAGAAAATATTAAGAAATAAATAAGATTTAAGTTTACTATAACCAGAGTACTTTACTTTTCATTTTTCCGAATTAGTAATTTTTTTAAAGTATCACAATATGATTATACTTCAAAAATTAACAATTATTCCTTGATATCATCAATCATATAGTGTTCAATTTTTCAAGTGTTTCATGAATGCCATAATTTTTTAGTTTTTTTGGAAGATGACTCAATTAAAATCCACTCATTGTAAATGCCTTTTAAGTATTTTCTGATCTATTAAGATATTCCTCCATCTTTCTCTTGCAATTTGTTTGTTGACAAAATCAGACTTTCACCTGTAGCACATTCCCTAGCCCTCATTTTGTTCTATCCTGTGCTGTATTTTAATAATCTGTTCCTATATTCTTCTATTTTTCATAATTAATAGTTGAATCTATGGGCTTGATCAGATACAGGTTCAATTCTTTGTGGCAAGACCACCTCATATGTAGTGTTCTTCCATCATGAGGAACATCCTATCTGGTTGCTTCTCTTTGGATGGGAGTGCTGGTGACATAGCAGCTAAGGATCTGACTGCTAACCAGAACACTGGAGGTTCAAACCTACCAGCAACTCCTCAGAAAGAAGATTGGGCAATCTACTTCTGTAGAGAAACCGCCTAGGAAACTCAAGGAGGGGTCACTATGAGTTGAATCTCTTGGATGTTAGCAACCATTGATGATATATGTAGACATTTATTAGTTCATTAGGGACTGATATTGGTAGTATTTTATTTATGGCATTCTAAGTCATATTTCAGTCCAGTATGTGCATTGGTTAGTACCACTAGCCAGTGAAGGCTTTGAAAGCAGAGACGTTTATTTTTCAATCTCTGTAATAAAGTTAATGTGTAGTGGAAAAAGGAAATTTTATTAGCCATGTAATTATAAGCTGTTTGTATTTAACAACAACAACAAAAGGTAGGTTTATAAGTCTGTTATCACATCATACAAACTTGATAAATTTTCACCAAATATGAAGAGTATGTTTCAGATGGTTATACTATAACCTATAGGAACTCTGGTAGCATAGTGGCTAAAGCACTTGACTGCTAACCAGAAGGCTGGCAGTTCAAACCCACCAGCCACTCCTCAGAAGGAAGGTTGGGCAATCCTACTTCCGTAGTGATACTGCCTTGGAAACCCAAGGAGGGGTCACTATGAGTCGGGGCCGACTCGACGGCACATAACACCACCACCACCACCACCCTATGTTAAACCAAAGTCACTGCCATCATATCAATTCTGATTCATAGCAACCTCCACTGGGTTTCCAAGGCTACAAATCTTTACAGAAGAGACTGCCTCACTTTTTTTCTTCACAGCAGCTGGTGGGTTTGAACCACTGACCTTTTGGTTAGCAGTCAAATAAATGCCTTAACCACTGGATCACCAGAGCTCCTTGTAACTATGTAGCAGACAAGAAATTAAGTTTGGAGAGCTCTCAGAGTGGGCATCTCAAAGGAAGAGTCAGTTTTCAGAACAGTGAAAACTGCAGTATAATCAGAGGTCGATGCAACTGTCAAGCATGATATACTACATACAGTAAGACGGAAAAGTTAAGGTAGTTCAAGAAGTATAGTCTTAAACTGAAGGTCACAAAGGCAGATGCTATGAATTGCAAGTGCTGACTTAAATTGAGCTAAAACTTTAGGCAGCATGTTCAAGGGTGTGTAATAACATCAGGCATCTATGCACAATGATTAGGAATACTCCTGAGCAACTGTGGGCAAGCCAGCTAGTATAGCATAGAAAGATTAGCTCTGAGGTAAAACTAAGAAAAGAAATCTGTAGAGATTACAATTTAGAACAAAAAACCTCTTGTTACTGAGTCAATTCCAACTCACAGTGACCCTATATGACATAGTAAACTGCTCCACAGTGTTTCCAAGGCTGTAAATCTTTATGGAAGCAGACTGCCACATCTTTTGGTTAGTACCCAAGTGCTTAACCACTGGGCTTTTATATGGTTTATTAAATAGTATATATCACAAAGCTTTGGAGGAAGAAGAGTTTGAACTTGATGTCCCAAACAAGGTTGTGGTACCACTGTGAACTGATCCATATTGCTAGTCATTAGCAGAGATCTTGGAGAGCTGGCTGTATCTTACTTTTGTGTTCTTGGCTGATATCATGCATGTTCCTGGCCTCTACCCCTTCATGTGCATGAAGATTACTTTCTTAAGCTGTAACAAATTATTAAAGTGCAGGTTCATACAAAAGGAAGAACTGAAAGATGTCCACTGTTTTTTTATGGGAAGATCTTCATTTTATGGTTTCAGCACTGTGTTTCCTACTCACCTGATGCCTTGTTCTGTAAATGGCGTTGGTCCACAAATGCAGATGAGAACTTTGGATTTGTCTGAGCTTCTTTTTAAAAATTCAGAAAGAAGAGCTGGTGAAATGTATCCCCGCTTGCCATTCCATTCAGAAATGGGCTCTGAGAGAACAAATTCAACATCAAATCTACAGGAAAGAAACAGTTAAAAAATGTCTGTGATTTGCATACATTCTCAACATGCTTCAAGTTCACTAAAATACATCCTTTTAAAAATCTTTTTCCTTTAGAGAACAATTTGATATATACGGATTTTCTATGAAAGCACTGGAGTAAAATACAATGAGTTAACGAAACTATACAGATCAAAATTCACATTTACTAAGGATTAGCTTTTTCTATAAATAAGAAATAATTTGGCTTTTTAAAAAATAGAACTTGGAGAACTTCACTATTTATTACTAACCTGCTTGTACAAACCACAATAAAGAGCAACTATGAGGTACATGGGCATTTTTATCCATAGCTCAACCTCTCGAATGCTTTCTAGGCCCTTGTAACAAACAACTACCTGGCTTCTTACTGTTATGATCTCAAAGGCTTCAGCCTCAACATGTTCAAGACTTAGATCTCCCTGCCACATACCTGGCATTATCTCTGTCTTTACTGCCGTAACTCTGACCATTCACCCTTTTCTTTCTGTAATGCTTCTGCCACCCTTCACTGTTTAGTTCTCAGCTTATGTATTCACGGGGAAGCACCGAACCCTCTAGTCTAGGGTCGTTTGTTACATGTTCTGTACAAAACTTTCCCTTTTCCTTTTCTTCACAGTCCTTACCTCAGGTTGCAAATACGTGATCAAGGAAACATTTGTTTATTAATGTCTTCCTTCTCTATTAGACTGTAAACTCCAGGAGAGCACATTTGCTTTGGTTTTCACTGTATCCCTAACGGCCAATACACAGGAGGCACTCAAATATTTATGGAATGAAACATATGAAAGTAAAAAGAAGGTACAGACTTCAAATTAGAAAAAAGAACATCAAACCAAGTCTCAAAATGGAACTTCAGGCCACTTCTTCCTACAGGCTTAGTGATTTGTTAAGTGAACTGATGGGAATGAGCCACAATAAATTAAAAATTCTATGTACCTGTTGAGCTATTTTCTGAAGAGTAACAGGAATTGATTATATATTGAGCTAGAAAAAAGTTGTAATGAACAGTTTTTTTTTTTTGTTTTTTTTTCCCCGATGGTGGGGAACCAAATAGCAGAACAGAAACCAATGTGGCTGGCATAGCTGCCTTCACACCAGGTGATTCAGCTGGGTTAAGGCTACCAAATATTAACGAGCCTGGGAAATCAGCACAGATCAAGTAAGAGTGCCACACCTGGGGGCTAACAGACCAGTCTCAGCTCTGCTCCTAGACCCAACCTCCAAGTCTTACTGTCTATTTGTAAAATGAGCTTGGGGAACTACATAATCTTTTGTAACTCTAGTATCTATGATTTTACATTCAAAAACATCTACAGAATTCTTTTTTATTTCTCACCCTTCATTGTTTCCATTCAGTGTTAGTGGCAATGCTAATCACCCTATTCAAAATAGTATAATTATTCTCTTTCACTAACCTATTCTTTCCTTCCTGGCAGCTAAAATTAAGATAAGTTCTGTGTGCAAAAAGGAAAAAAAGTTTAGTGAATGAATAAAATAATTTATTTATAAAGAAGCCATATTGACTAAAAATAAAAATTAGAAGAACAAAGCTATGTGCTGGTATCCATGAAATAAATATATAAAATAAAAAAAGTATGTGAATTCATGAGTCCATTTTTCTGGGAAGATCCATAACTTGTCATCAGATTATCAACAGCAGCTGGGGAGCTACTGTCTTAAGAAGTGGTTACAAAACTGCCCTCTTAAATCAAAAGATAAATAATAGTCACCTCTGGTTTTATTGCCAATAAACCTTTTGCTAGGATAAAATTGGTAAGATATATAAATTAATACTGAAGTCCCTGTCATCTGTCTTAAGTACCCATTCATAATTTTCCTTTATTGGGATGCTAAAAAAAAAGAAAAAAGAAAAAAGGATAGAAAGGAAGAAAAAAGGCCTACCAAGTGGCACACTTTCTACGGGTATCTACAAAAAGGTGACAAATAATAGAGATCCTTGCATAAATGAGGTCAACTTCTCATGCATTTTATATTCATCCACAAAATGGTCCCTGGGCTATAACTATTAGGCACTCAATGGGAAAAGTGAAAAGGCAGTATGTATACAATCTGGGGATATTATAAAAAGGCTGCCATCCTGTTTATCTACTCAAGAATTCTTTAACAAAGAACTTTTTATACCACATCCAAAGATAGATGGTTACTGCAGAATCTTCTCTTCTTGAATTTCTGAATGAGGGCCAACTTACTGCTTAAAACAATTACAGTATGATTAGCTGGACATCTGAATTTACTCAAAGGTGCCTTGAAAGAAAGGTCTGGCAATCTACTTCCAGAAAATCAGCTGCCGAAAACCTTGTGAAGCACACAGTTCTGCTCTGACACGTGGAGTTTCTATGAGTTGGAATCAACTCAACAGCAACCGGTTTCTAAGGGGCACATTAGTCAATATTCTGAAATTCCTCTCAAAGTACTTAGAAAGGACTAAGGCTGGAAAAGGCTACATGCAAATAAATATAAGTAATTCATAAGGTGCAAAGCAACATAGGGGAAAAAAAAGCAAGTGAGACAGCAGACCTGCTTCTGATGAATGTTCATGTGCTCTGAAAGGTCAATGGAAGTAAGTAAACTCATCCAAAAATATGTATTTTAAAATAGATTGATAGTAACTTGAGATGAAAATCTAGAAACAGAAATGTACGTAGTGTAAATCACACCCAAACCTGAGATCATCCAATACTTTATCTCTCTTCCTGTACTCGATCAGGTTCCAAACATTACCTCCTTCCTATTTCTCACATAGATCCTTCTCATTTTTACTGACACAACTCCAGATCAGGTCTTTATGTTTCTTGTCTAAAACAATGCCACAATACTCTTAGCCCTAATCCATGCTACACAGTGCTGCCAGATTAGTTTTCCTAAAATCCCAAATGCAGTCATACAACTTCTTTGCTAAAAAAAGCTTCAGTGCTGCCTCACTGCCCACACAATAGTATTTCAGAGTCTTCAGGCCTCAGCTTTGCCTGTCATTTCTGGCTAAAGAGAAATATTTAAATAAATAAATAGCTCACTGCCGTCGAGTCAGATCTGACTCACAGAGACCCCTCCTTGGGTTTCTGAGGCAGTATTACTACGGAAGTAGATTGCTCAATCTTCCTTTCAAGAAAGAGAAATATTACAGCTATAGAAAAATGTTATTTGCTCATAGAAAAAATAGCTCAAAAGATAAACTACTAGGGGCTAAGATTGGCTAAAACACATACTATGCAACCATTTCTCAGAAAAATTAAGTCTTCTAGATGTTAAGGACTACTCCAAGAAAAAAAGGTTAATCTACCAAATAAGTTCAGGATATACTAGGTCAAAACAAATTAAACAGGTCTCTTCAGTACTTCTCCAGGTCTTTAATATGTTAGACTCACAGTGAATCTTTAACAAGGTAATATGGTACATACTTTTCCTATTATTTAATCAGAGCCTTTAGTGGGGGAACATATGAACATCTCCAGGAACATATTCCCCAAAACACACAATTTGAAGAATATTTCCTGGGAGGAACAGAGTGATATGAGGGTTCAGATTAGGAGTCTGTATATCAATATGCATCATGGGCTAGATAAATAGAAATGGGGTCAGGCATGGTGTTCAATTCACTTATGTTTCTGGAATCATCAGCATTTGCTATCTTAACTTAGATTAATAAATTGCTTATCTCAGTTCTGACACCAGAGTACAGAAATACAGTCAGGCATTCTGTACAGAGTCTGTGAGTACTGAAGGGAGACTGTTGCAGAGGATTGCTAGGCCTTCCTATTTTAACTTAATCTATAATATTTATTTAATATATGAGTTGCATTCAAGGTTTTTTATCTCCTTATTTTAGCCCATCCTGATTCTTTGACTGTACAAGAGAATTAGAAGTGACCACCAATAAAATTCCTTCTAAAACTGATATAATGTTCAATGGCTTTATTTTTACAAAGTTATTTCACGTTGTTCTCCTCCATGCATTACATTTACTTCAACAAAACTGGACTCTGGAGGGCTTCTGGCAAGATAGAGGGAAAAGTAGACAAGCAACATGGACCTTCTACAACAAAGAAAAAAGAAACCAATTGAAACAGATAGAGAAGATAATCCTAGAATCCTAAACTTTGAAGGAAAGGTAATGAAGTGGATTAAATACTGACCAGTAGAAGAAACAGAATGAAAACAGTGAATAAGGAGACAAACAGAGCTGTGGATCTCTTGAATGGCCTGGCAGTGTGGCCATTTTGAATATTTGCAAGTGGCATTCTGATTCAGGCAGAAACCTGATAATTGGCTCCATCTGCCGAGGACTGGTAACTGCGCTAACAACTCATGAACAGAAAGCAACCATGCCTACATGACCTAATCACATCTGTACCTACTGCAGCCCCACCCAATGGGTGAGGGCCCGCACCTGCTTCTGCACCAACTGTTCAATGATAGATGGCAGCCAATACCAGCTCAACCCACCCTCAACTGCTCTACAGGTACAGCTAACAGCAATCTGTGTGCATATTCTCACCCTCTATCACATCAACCAGGAGAAAGGTGAATGCCTAAGTGTTGCCAAACAGCAAAACCTACATTCTTTTCCAGTGCACATGGAACACTCTACAAGAGACAATATGTTAGGCCACAAAGCAAGTCTCAATAACTTTATAAACTTTATCAAAATACTGCAAAGCATATTCCCAGATCAAAACACTATAAAATTAGAAATCAACAATAGGAAAAGCAAGGAAAAAAAATAGCAAACACATGGAAACTGAATTAACACCCTCCTTAAAAACTAGTAGGTAACAGAAAAAATAAAAAAGGAAATTAATAAATTCCTTGAATCAAATGAGAACGAAATCACAACATACCAAAATCTTTGGGACACAGCAGGAGTATTCAGAGGGCAATTTATAGTAATAAAAGCACACATCATGCCAGTAAAATTTTGCTGAGTGTAATTTAAAAATGGTTCTGGTAGTATA